AACCTGGATATTTTAGGCAATATAGAAATCCTGGCAAGGACGCATCCCGAAAAAATGGCCCGTATGGTCACCCTACGTTTTATGCATTGTTCATTGTTCCTTGAATACTGGCGCACATTGAAACAAGATATGTGAAGAAATCACATTTGGAAACACACAAGATTTATCGAATACATTTAAAATTATTGTTACAGATTATTTTAGTCGCACTAGAGTTTAAAAATATCCGTCACAATATAACATCATGTTAAGTGATTACATTGTCTTCCCACTCTGACTGATTTTTTTTTTTATTTTAAGATATGGGCTGTATTTCCCAAAAGTATCTTAAGCCTAAGTAGATTGTAGATCCATTGGCACCGAAAGTCTCTATGAACTCATGATGGTTCTGGGAAACACAGCCCTGGTTATGTAGCTAGACAAAATGTTTTGAATGTGTTTCCAGAAATACATTTTAATCAATAGAAGCTTTCATTTGAACAGCTTTAAAAGCTGACACTTGACATAATTTTTACAGCCTTTATCTGTGCACTTGGTCAAATCTAACTACTTCTTTTATGCAAGAGGAAAACATTTCACAAGCCTTAAGGCTAATTGCCCTCATTCTGACCGAAAGAAAGGCCCCCGAGAGACTGAGTGTCTTTTGTGACAAATAAGTGCACACAATGCATACAATTAATGGAGGTTTAACTGTGGGCAAGGACTAATTTTTTCGTCCTTTTCTTCCAATCACATCTTAGAGACGAGAAGTTTCTAGCAATTACTTCTCCGTTACCATAGTTATTATGAATATTTCTAGGTTATTTATGCTCAGAGTGCCAGTCACACAGAAGACTCACCCATTAATTATCTTAGCCAGGTTTTCACAGACTGCAATGTGATTATAATCACAATTTCAGAGCTCGTAGCTTACAAAAATGGCTTTCTCTCAAAGTGGCCAGCCTTTGGATCATCAAACAGACAGAACCACAATAGACCTTCCTTTGACAATGTCATCGCCACCTTCATGACACGTGAATGGGCCTATGAAAGAGCTGTTTATAATTTCTAACATTCAGCTGCTGTGGAAGAGCCTGATTAAAGCACAATCTCGGAACGACAGATATCTCTTGGCATTATTTACGAAGTAAACCTGTCAGCTGCATTGCACTTGGTCTGTAACATCTGTTCTCAGAGGAGCCTCTTTATGAGACAGCTTTGCCTGGCCGTACGACACCACCTTCAAGATTTTGATGTCTGAGCAGACATAATTGTGATTGTGATGCCAGCAGAGCCCACCCTCCATTTATTCCACAGCAATCTTCAGCTTTGTGGCTGTGAGCCCATTCGTTGTTTTGTTTGCCGTGAAGTATCTTCTAGCAGATTTCCCCAGGATTCCCCAGTGCAGTGGGAGCTGGCAAATTGATTCTTACGATGTTTACCTTTCCCCCATCTTAATAATTACCCCGTAAATTAGCCATTGTCTGGCTTTAAGTCCCTCTGAGGTGTTCCTGAAATGAGCTGGTTAATTACCTTATCATACCTCTGGCTATGAGCAATGAATGAGGAAAGCTGTACGTCATTTAAAAGCATCTTAATAACATCTTCTGCTTTTCATGTTAGCAAACCGAACAGCAATCCTGTGGATGATGATGATGGCGGGGAATGTTCTTTTAGAGGTGAAGTGTGTACTTTTATGAAAATATCCCAGTTTTATGGGGAGAGACAACTATAAGTAAGTTGCTCTGATGTCGCACCACATAAGTGTGAGAAACTGTTTTCATTACGTGATCACTATTGCTTTGTCAGTTATTACAGATCGTTTGATATGCACTGAGTATTTATGCGTTTTAACCTAAAACACAGCAGCATCCATCTGTGAAGGATGTAGTGGGTCAAACATACACAACTGTTAGCCAATCATAGCAGTGGGCTATGTTTAACTCCGAGTCTACAATCCGCCACGCCTATATTGCCTTTATTCAAACAGAGCGTTCCAATGAGGGGGGTCAAAACAGAACACAAAATAGCCTATTACTTCTAAATTTTATTTTTTTATGTAAAAAAATCTTGGTGGACATCAGAAAACAGTATAAATTTAGGCAGTTCATGACCACTTTAATTAATACACATTGGCTATTTTCTTCAATAATAACGAATCTTTATAGTAAATAATATTTTTATTTTATTTTATTTAATAAAAAAATTTATTTCTCAGCTTAGGTTATCAGGAGTGGCCAAGGAGTTGGTTATCAGGAGTTGTGCAACTGCTACAAATTTAAATTAAATTTACATTCAAGAATCAAATTTACATCCAAATGCTAATGAATTAGCAGTAACTCAAGAATGAGCTAACCTGCAGTGTTATTTTAGTATTATTCAAATACATCTGACTGACATGCAAAGCAACCAGTGTTTAGATAAGATTGATAACAGATTGGCGTGCATCTAATACATTTTTAATTCAAGAACAATGTGCAAGTTTACTGCAACAATGGTGAACAATTTTGAAAACCCAGCATTTAGTTGATCCTGATAATTGCTCATTGTCAAACTTGCAAACATGACTGCTTTCTTCTTCCATGATGGGGTTTGGCATCAAGACGGCTTTGTTTCCAGTCAGACCGTTAAAAAATGTGACACACACGTTTTCCGGAAATCCTGTCAAATTCAACCAATCAGATGATGACTTTGAAACTCCCAAAGTGTTTCCCATTTTGTGTCCATTATGCATCAAACGTTCAGCCAATGGCCCATGGACTGAGATAACAGCAACACTGGCTCGACCAATGGCATGAGTTTGGGGGTGGGACTATCTGTTTGCCAATCAATTGCAAACGAGGGGAAAGTTTCAAAAAATCTTTCATTATTTTTGAGGTTCTAAAATTACACACTTCATCTTTATGATGTACACAAACATACCGTTAAATTGGTTTTAGCACTTCGTTTACAAAAGAAATATAGAAACTGTGCTTTGTTGTGAAAGACGGACAGACAGCGGAACATATTTTTTTTGTTTATGCCTCAGTTTTCAAAAAGAGCTAATGGCTGCTTAGCTCTCTGGTACTCACAATGGACGTGACAATAGGTAAAGTGTTAAGAATCCTTTTGCAATGACACAAACTACACCTTTTGTCCCGATTGTTCTATAAATGTCTCATCTGGCTATCAAGGGCCCTTTTCCTCAGCAAAGCAGCCAACTGCCTGACCATTACCCATTCTCTTCACTGTGCCTGAAAACCAAAACAAATCAGACAGCATTCAAACAGAGGCATACTTGAAAGATGAACCATTGATAGGTGAAGAGTAGTTACATTTCCTGCAAGAGAGGGATAATCACTGTGCGCTAGATGAAGGTACACAAAACAATAGCTGGTTCTCAGATTGGAGTTCAGCCTCCAGGGGGAGAAGACAGGCAGCATCCCATTCCCTCCCCCACCAGTCTCTCCACATGCTTGGAAGTCTCAGAGCGGTTGAAGAGTTTCTCTCGACCACGTCTGCATTCCTCACAAGCTTCAGCTCTCACCCTGCCACTCCTCAGCCATGCTAACATGCTGCTACGTCTCCCCGCTGCGCCACTGAGATACTGCACAAAAAAGGGTACCACTGAGCTACAGCATCACCCCGTTTGAGTGAGGGGTGTTATTATTGGCCCTTCTTGCCAGTGTGGAGGACTGCAGGTGGGGAATCAGATGTTGAGGAGCCCTAGGCATCTCATACCCTGGATGGCTCCACTGGGCTGCAACAGTATGCTGGTGCTGGACGAGTGGCTCTTTACGCCAGCCCTAAAACGCCCTTCCATTATAATCAACAAAAGCCATTTAGATTGGAAACAAAATAGCAAAAATGTTAAATCTGCTTAAATATGTTCTCAAAAGTCTTCATCCAATTTATCTTCCCTGTCCATCTAAAATAAAATATTCTTTACAAATATCATAAATAAAAAGGTCAATTTATTCATTTGATCTAAATAATTTTTGATTGAATTAAAATGTATCTGTTCATATATACTATATAATATAAATACACTACTGTCAAAAGTTTGGGGTCAAATATATATATTTATTATATATTTTATCATTTATATAAATATATTTCTGTATATATATTTTTTTAAAGAGAGAAATTAATATTTTTATTCAGCATTGAATTGGTCAGAAGTCAAAGTAAAGACTTTTACATTGTTACAAAAAATCTGAAAGTTTTCTGAAAGAAATGCTATGCTTAGCAATTTTCTACAATGAATCCTGAAAAAAAGTATCCCAGTTTCCATTAAAATATTGATATTTAATAATATAATAAGAAATGTACTTGACCAAATCAGTGTATTAAAATGATTTCTGAAGGATCATGTGTCATTGAAGCCTGGATTAAAATGTTTTGTTGAAAATTCAGCTTTCCATCACAGGAATAAAGTACATTTTAAAATATATTAAAATAGAAATGTTATTTTAATTTATAATTAATAACAACATTTCATAATATTACTGCTTTTAATGTATTCTTTAAAACAAATGCAGCCTTGGTGAACAAAACAAAACATTATAAAATTATACAGACACTAAACTTGTGAATGATAAAATATTCTCTCAAGACTGGTAAAACTCTAGCCAGCCACTTTTATAGTATAAAATGTATAAATGTATATGTATAAATTTGTTATACAAATAACAAATTTATAGTTGATTATTTACAAATATCATGTGTGAATTGTATTGAATGTAACTAATAAAGTTTGCATCAAGGGCAGCCTGTGATATCAAGACATTGAATTAAATTACTTTGGATTTTAAAATATGTTTGTAAGACTCATAAATAAGAATCGCAATGTAGGCCTACTTTGTTTATCTGTGGGAAGGTTATAAAGTAACATCATCGTTCGGCCGGTTCTGAGGTTCCATACAGAAAGAGAGAGTGACTGTGAGATGTACTGCTAGATAACATAAAAGGGAATAATGGAGATGTGTGCAAGGTCTTTGAAAACTGCTGAAGGCCTGTGATGAAATGAAGGCACTCTTGCGATTTGAAATGTTCAGGAAGCAGAATGGAGGGGCGTTGTCTTCTCTCACATAATGCACTGAGTGGAATGTGAAACCTGCAGAGATGATCCAGAAGAGATCTACCTCCACAAAAAGACACCATATCACTCACATATCAGAAGCGCTGCCCCCATGTTTATACCCCAGCACTTTTATCTCACTCTGCATGCATCATATCACCGTGAGAAGGAGGAGGGCAGAGACTGGGAGCACTGATATGGGCTCTACCTCACCTCGCAATCTCTCTCCATCTCTATTGCAAGTGCATCATAAAAATGGGGGTTTTGCTGGAGTAAATTAACAAGAGCCCTTGATATGCAGATCAGCGCCTATTAATCAAAGAAATGAGATTAGGATTTCAAATGGGGATGAAGAAAGCCTCCACTATCTTGCTGGAGTGTCATGTTTAATAACGTGGAACGGCACTGTAATTCACAGGCACGGCAGGCCCAGGAGGAGAGACCAACCCTCGGCAGGTCCCTGCTCTGCGTCAGGTGACCCTGGAAGCTCGCGCTGGGGTGAAGGGAAACACCCGACATAGAGAGGGAGCGTGGAGGAGAGGGGAAGAGATAGAAGGGAATCAAAAGAGCATGTTCCTACGGGAAAGTGGAGGCCCTGTTCATTTGGCTTTGATGTTAAAGTGTCTTGCCGTGCTCGGTGGGGCCGGGTCTACGCAGCACATAAATAATGGCTGGCTAAATGTAGAATCTGCTCACTCATGCTGGCGAACTGACAGAACGGTCGGTGTGCGTGTTTAAGGCATGAGGTGGATGCACAGGTTCATCCGCACACAAAGAAACATGCACATAAACACATATTAACATTACCGTTCAAAAGTTTGGGGTCAGTGCGTTTTTTTCCCCCAAGAAATTAATATTTTTATTCAACAAGGATGTATAAAATTGACCAAATGTGACAGTAGAAACATTTATAATGTTACAAAATGTCCGATTTTAAATAAATGCAGTTCTTTTGAATTTTATATTCATCAAAAAATCCTGGAAAAAAAAAGTATCATGGTTTCCACCAAAATATTAAGCAGCGCAACCGTTTTCAAAATGGTTAATAAGTAATGTTTCTTGAGTACAAATTAGCATATTAGTAAGATTTCTAAAGGATCACTGAAGACTGGAGTAATGGTGTTATTTTACATTTGAATAACATTTCACCGTCTTACTGTATATTTGATCAAAAAATGTTTTGATGAGCATAAGAGACTTCTTTCAGTACATGCGAATGTTTGTGCACATCTATAAAGGAGAAACTTTGCTTAAAGAGAGATGAGAGTAAAAAGGCAAAAAGATTTAATAGTTGACGTGGAATGTCATATTAATAATGCTAAATGCATAAATAATAATAATAATCTAGCGTAGCGTTAGTTCTGGCAGGTCACGTTAGTCAAGCTCTCATCAGCTGACTCTCAGCTGATCCCCATCAACCTATGGGAATACGACACCTATCTTAGCATTCATATATAAGGTCCCGCAGTAGTATCAGCAGTTTTCGCATTGCTCAATAGCTAATTACCCTCCTCCATCCCCAACTCCTCCTCTGTCAGTCAGGATTCAGCCTTCTGATTCTCCTTTGAATCAGACTAATTCTAAAATGTGTACATAACATTATTGAACTTTATCGATATCTGCAATACATTTATGTTGGTTCTGTTCTGTTTACCCTGGGTGGGTTATCGCTGCTCTCCCTGCTCTCATCCATGCTAGGCTGCATGGATGCGCAGGGAGTTCTTGCCCAGAACGGAACCATACAGCCAATCCAAACTGTATGCTAATTGTCAATCATCTTTGACGATAGTGGTCCTGACAGAAATAATAATAATAACGATACTTTTAAACTCTCTGAATAACTCACCGTATCATGTATGTGCACATACAGTCCTCTTCCTCCTTCAAAAAACAAGAAATTTAATTTGTTAGACACAGATCTTTAAAAAAAAAAAAAGGCTTGCTCTGACTGAGTTAAGTCATTTTAAGTTTTAGGATCATGATTTAGTTTATTATAGATCAAATATAATTTAAAAGTTACCTCTCCTTCAGAAGTCACAGCGTAGATTTTAAACTGCTGTTGTATTTATCCGATGTTCTTATGTATTTAAATGGTCTTTGCAGTTTCAAGTTTAATAAAATATGTACACTAGTATTAAAACGTTTGGTGTCTGCAAGATTTTTCTTTTAAATAAATACTTTTATTCAACAAGGATGCACTAAATCGATCAAAAGGGACATTGAAGACATTTAGAATATTACAAAAGATGTCTATTTCAAATACATGTTGTAAAAATTGCACTGACCCCAAATTTTTAAACAGTAGTGCAAGAAAACAGAGAATAATATTTGTAGACCCCTACAAAGTTTGTGTTCTAAAACCTTTAACCTGATTTTGTTTTGTTTGCTACCTTTTGTTACCTTTATTGTTTTAAAAGATTACTATTCTTATTCTTTTCAGAATGTAAAATTTACAAAATATTTATGTAACATAATTCAATTTTTTTAATATATCTTTTAAATATTCTTTAATTTTTATTATATTTAGTATTCTTTTTAACATTTCATTTAGTTTTTTTATTGTATTTTATTTTACCACACACCTCTGATAGGTGCTAAGAATGTGCCTTTGTGAATGGTTAGTTAGATTATTTCCAACCTCTTATTTAATGACTGCTGACAAACGAAAATCTCAAGATTCACCTAAGTTTCAGTTTAAACATTTTCTAAGTACAACCAAAGAGTGCTACAATTATCCCTGCTCTAGCCTACTGCTAAGCTCTTAAACATGGCCTTAAACACTGAGTTGTCTCACTGCCTGCTCACAATTGATTTTGACAATCTTTTCGCCATTGGGAAAAACACATAACTCACTGATGACTGTGGGCCTGCACTCCTCGGCTCCTTGGGAACCACAGAAATTATGCTAGCATTAATGTTTAATATTGCCAGGGACTCGAGAGATGCACATGTGTGCAAGGTCCTTTGTCTTTGTGTCAAGCGAAATGTGCTTCGATGCAAGGCAAAAATCATTTCAAATGGAGGACAAGGAGAGAGAGAGAGTGCTTCCCCTTGGTCACCTCATGGTGAATAATGCAGAAAGGGGGGAAAGATGACGACTGGGCCTGCACAAACAGACGAGGCCTCGGTAAGGCCAGGCCCACTGAGAGCTGACCCACACAATTTCCTTACATCTGCTCAGTGTATTGAAAACAACATTTTGCAGTCTCAGAACTGCAATTATTGAGATGTATGTGTGCTTACTGCATGTAATCAGATAAGCGTGTCTGCTTGTAGCAGGTATTAACGGGACAGTGCACACGATAATAAAGTTACCAATAACAAAGCCATTATCTACACACCTGTATGGCTTTCTGTGAGTTTTAGAGGGATTTGGACCACGGTGACCGTGATTTCACCAAGTACAACATGTTCCTGGATCAACATCCTTGTTGATCCTGGAACAACATTCCAATTAACCAATCAGAGTTGAGAGATAACTTTTCAGGAAATGTCTGTTTTAGGCTTACAATCAGGGTTAGGTGCTTCTACACCATTGGTAATCAGCTATCATTTCACACTGATTTTAGGAATAAATTATGGCTAGGGTTAGGTTTAGGGATTGGGTTTAGTCTATATTCTTGGACAGTAATGTTGATCCAGGATCAACAAAAGATGTTGATCCAGGAACATGTCTTACTTGGCAAAATCACGGCGACCTTTGGACCACTTTATTCGTGGGGACAATGACAATTCAGTGACCATGGGCTTCAAGCTCCAAAAAAATGTCAAAAAGCACCATAAAAGTACCATAAACCTGTTTCATAAATCTCACATGCTGTTTTCCAAGTCTTCTTGAGCAATAGGCCTACTACAGTGTTGTGTGAGGAAAAGTCCAACATTTTAATCACATCTTAGCCTTCTATATCAAACATTGTCTAAACAATGTCATTACCTTTTGTAATGGAAACCAATAACTTTTTATGTGTTTGATTTTGTTATTATAAACATACAGATTGATCGCTGCTATGAATTGTGAACAGAAATTACCTGAACGTACGTAGTTTGCAGCCTGAATTTCATATTCGATGAGCTGAAATGCGGCAAAATAACGCCAAAAAAAATATTTCTCTCCACTGATATGTCCTCGCGAGCTACGCGCAAAAACACATAAGCCCACCCGTTGTCCGATTGTAAATGACTCTTATGAGTCGGCTCTTTTAATGAATCGTTCAAAACAGTAGCCAATATTCGCAAAACGTATCAGTATTATTATGTTTCATATGACAACATGTAGTTAAAGATTTTGTAACAAATCATGTTTAACAAAACACACACCCATATACGTATAAAAGTGTGGGCTCAGTAATATTTTTTTAAAGGGGTTATATGATGCTTTTTTAAAGATCATTATTTTGTGTATTTGGTGTAACGGACTACTGTCAGGATCATGGACTGTCTGTGTCATGTTTTGGCCCTGTTTCTGTTCCCTTATTTGGTCATGTTCCTGTCCTCGTTTTGTTAATTAGTTTGATTATGATCCCATGCACCTGTGTTCCCCAATCATCCCCTGTATTTAAGTCCTAGTCTGTGCAGTCTTTTTCTGTCGGGTCTACTTGTTGTCTACGTGTGTTGCTCAAGCTCCTGTTGTGGATTATTCCCAGTGTTTCTTTGATTAAATACTGTTAAACGTTTCCTCGTCACTCCAGCGTGTTCCCTGAACAGCGTGACGTGACAATAGGGGTGATGTGAGCAGATTTTTTTGTGGAAGTTAATAGTCTGGCAGCAGAATTTTGAATGTACTTCAGACGAAAGATGAAGTGAGCTGGTAAGCCAGAATAAAAGAGCGTTACAATAGTCAAGGCGAGCGGTAATAAACGCATGAACTAATGATTCCGCATCTTTTCTACTGAG